GTTTCCGACAGCGAGGGAAGTACTGTTTAAACTCTTTAGACCAATTTTTTGAAAATGGTTACTGAAATACTCCACCCAGTTCGAATTATGTACTCGTTTTGAGTAAAAGTGGAAAATAACTCAAGAGTTACTCGAAGGCGACTGTGGCAATTTTTTTGTTACAAAGAAAATGAAAAAATAATGTATAGAATGTATTATTCATTTACAAGTATAACTAACAATTTTTCAGTAAATGTAGAACTGAAAGGACCTGAAACGTCGATATTAAACTTATCTATATCCGTACTGCATATTTTTTATTGCTGAAACGATGTATATAAATTTATCAAAACTTACATCCACTTACATGTAAAGATGTGTCTTGGATATATGATATGTTATTTCTGACGAAATGGTGATAACAGCCGGGAACAGAGACCGAATCATGGCTGATTTAGACGTTTTGTTTATACCGTTGCCATGGAAACCTCATGTCCCAGCCGCCTGATTCATTTGGACTGCGGTCCCGTTCCGACAGTGCTCGGCAGGATAGAGTTACTATCGCGGGTTTAATTTTCATTCTACTAATAATATTTCTATTAATTTGAACTTAATCACTAATCACATCAGAATTAAAGACAGGCCTAGAATTTAGTAAAATAATACGCTTTGCACTGTACAGTCTTATCTACGCAAGTACTAGCCCCACCCACCCCCTCTATTTTCTTGAGAATGTATGTCATTTGCCAAACTCAGTCTTATCTTAGCAAGTACTAGCCTCGCCCACCCGCCTTCTATTTTCTTATAGCGTAGGTAATCTGCCAAAATCAGTCTCAGGTACTAGTATTTGCTAAGGATAAGACTGATTTGGGCAAATGACATACCCTCTAAGAAAATAAAGAGCGGTGGGCAGTTAGTGCCTCCTAAGATAAAACTGATTCTGGCAAATGGGCGTAGTTGCCAAATGATATACCCGTTAAGAAAATAAAGTCTTGGATGGGGCTAGTACTTGCTAAGTCAAGACTGATTTTGGCAAATGAGATAATCTCTAAGGAAATAGAGGGCGGGTGGGCGGGGCTAGTATTTGTTAAAACAAGATTGATTTTGCCAAATGACATAATCTCTAAGAAAATACAGGGCGGGTGGATGGGGCTAGTAGTTGCTAAGACAAGGTGCATTTTTGAATGTAATACTCTATATATTTTTAGAGATTTAGATTCCTTATTAAAAAAATGAAAAAAATGATACCAGAAGCAAAGGTTTGATGAACTACATTTTTTAATATGGGGGAAAATGGTGATATTTAAAAATTGTCAACTGCGCCATATTATTTAAAAATGGAGGTCTGTAATTTTGCATTTTGCTTTGAACATTGACAAGTGCTTTTACTTATTTATACAAAGTGATGAAATTTGCAAATCTCAGTTTTGACATAATTTTATAAAATGTTTGGGGTTATCTCTAACTAAAGTATGTCTTGATGCTACCTTGAAATTTGTTCTATAGTAGTATCATTTTTAGAATTATGTTCACATCGTAGTAAATCTGCTATTAGAAAAAACTGATAACTTAATACAGATACAATGGACAAAGTAAGCAAAAAAATTTCTTTTGTGAATGCGATTAATTAAAAGTTAGATATAATGGTGCTAGCCCCACCCACCCGCCCTCTATTTCGTTAAGAATTAGGGAATAGCTGTTGTAATCTGCTATTTTGTCTTTTCATAAAAACATACTTACTCGTATATCAAGCGAGGCGGATCAACAATACTTTTCATGTTGTATCAAGGTAATAATAATTCGTTACCGCTTCGCGTAATTTATATTAAATTAAAATCCTACGTAGGTACTCGTTACTTACATGTATTTGATCACCTTCCATAAATTTTAATACTTCGTTTACATTCTTCAACTAAACAAAAAAAATATAACTCGGTTATAACCGTGTTACAAAAATTACAAATTCACACATAATTTAAAACACAAAACTACAAAAATTTTGAACTAATTGTCAAAATGACAACAAAAAATCTGTGTCTTCACTGTTATGACAGCAAATTATTCTGACATTGATAATGAACCCGGATACTAGATTTCTATGAACAATACCTACTGCGAAGATTTTAATTTCAATTGTGAAAAGTATTATAAATAATTAGTCTTAATTAATAATTATTACAATTATAAGTCTTGTGATAAACATTACGAGTCAAGTGTGTATACAAAGAGTAACGTTGACTGGTGTCAAATGCAGAAAGAGCTTTCAAATTTAATATTTGTCCAATTAAAATTTAGTGAACGCGCCAGAGTTGAAGCAAAAAGTGTGTAAAACCAGAGTTCGAGAAAGTTTACAATTGTAACTAGTTAAAACAATGCAATTTTCCTCTATACAGCTAACAAAGTTGGTATACTATTGGGTTGTGATGTCTTTGTTTTTAAAAAATATAATAGTAAAAATAAAAGAAAATTACACAATGTTTTATTTCACTAATTTACTAAATATGGTTAAAGATGATTAGCATAAGTAAAGTTTTACGTCAGAAAGCAAAGTTGAATCCGTAAGGAAAAAGTTATACATCATTAGGCACATTGCTCACATCAATTTTCGCGGCACAGTTTTGAGCTAAATCTCAGGGAAAATTATTAACATAAAGCCAAAAAAATGCAGTTAACCGTAAAGTGTGCAGTTTATTCATATATGAAAATATGAAAGCACCTGGTACGAGAATATAACAAAATAACTGGTAGAGATTTTAATTTCAGTTTATAATTAACTTATTAAACTAGACGTACACGAACGTAATTAAATTAGTAACGCTCAAATAGGTATATGAAAAATGATATATCTCGAAAATTTAGTGTTTTTTTATCCCACTCCGCTGCATTTTTCAGTATTCGCATTATATATTTATGACGTCCAAAATTTCAACAAGTGTGGTTGGGTGGACACAAATTATTTCGAAGTTGATTTGGAAGAAAACCTGCTGCAAACAGCTGGAGCAAAATGCATGCCACATTTTTATTAAACAATTACGATTTCAACAATTCAAACATTTAGATTTTCTAATATCAGCAATAAATAATTATTTATATTTTATACGTGTTTGAGTTCACTGCTCCACCAATAATTTTATACATTTTATTATATGTATTTTCATGTATTTTAGCTGTTCTATGAGAGTTTTTATTACCCCATTCGAATCAGTTTACATCAGAGTTAATAGAAGAAATTACATGACGGTGGCAACAAATCGCAAAACAAGTTTTTTCTTCCAGAACTAGATCCGGCCAAACTAATTATTTTAATGTTATTTAATGCTGCAATCTACATGTGTATACTGCTTCAAATATTTTTTTCGCAATTCATTCATACTAGTTGTTTGGTTCATGCATTAAACAGAATGACCGAGGAAGTTAGGAACCAGTTTACAATTGCAGACGATTGATCAACAAATTACCTCTAAAAGCACACGGCTTTATAAGGAATGGTACCTATTAGTTGAGCCTTGCCTTTAGAATCAGAAATTACTAGATTTTCTCAATTTATATTGTAGCACTGTTTGTTAAGTATGGCTGGGAAAAGAATTGTATTACAATATTTCCTTGGTCTATTTGAAAATGAAAATGATTAATTTTGTAGTGTACCACATTTCTTTACAGTATAATACCTATTTCCCTATATGTAGTTGTTGTAATTTAAAAAATGTTTCGTTTGGTTGAGGTAGAAGACCGTGTATCTTCGAGGTTAACAGCATTGTAGTTACACGATTCTAATGAGAAATTTGGCATTCCCTTGTAATTTCTCATTCCAAAACATTTGCACACGCCTTTGTCTAAAATGTTGGAGTTGGGAAAATTTAATATACAAGACGGCATACTAAACTCATATAGAAGAGAGAAAGGCTACAATGCGAATGAAGGACCCTGGAAATAGCTTTATTTTATTACTCTCAGAATGTTGTCATTAAATACCGTCCTTTAACTTTTGCAATATTTTGGTAAAAAACTTTTCAAATAAAAGTCAAAGTGCTGATGTAATGAATGTAAAAATGTAAAAAAATCCGTTAAACGTAAATGTCAAGCCCAATTACATAAATGTTACCAGATCAGAAATGGTCCGATGGTTTATTAAAATAACTTTGTCGAGATGATTACTTTTGACGAAATATGCACTCTACAAAATATTAATGTCATCGTAAATAAAAAGTAATCTAGACCATTTTTATCTATCCACTCTCCAAAGCAAATTTTGGAAAATCGCTGGGTGAAAGGTGTGTTTTTCGAATTATAGGGGAAAAAATGAGAAAACGGGAGTGAGGTTGAAACGTTGTCAAATTCTTTTAAACCTTAAAAAACTTAACGTAAAATGAAATTTTGTATTTTTTCAAAAATAAAACCCACGAACTCAAAATTACCCGATTAATTTCTTTCTATCACAGTCGCTTTATTTTTCATTTGAATACATTGTTCAACCTTCAAGAATAATCAAAACAATAATAGAAATAAATATTTTCAAAACTTTGGTAAGCCATTAAAAAATTGCAAAATTTTATCTAAAATTTGGTAATCTATCCATCAAAGTCACTAACGCACCCATTCAAAAAATCGATGAAAAGATTCGGGCTAACATATGTTTTTGCCACGTTTTGCCTGTTTATAACGTCTTCAGCATAAATAGAATAAGTTGGCGATAAAATTCAGCAACAGCTTTTCCTTTTGCGTAAAGAAATCGAATTATTGCATGCACGCCACATTTGGCAGGTTCTCGATTCGACACAGCTACTTTAAACATCTACTGCGAGAATAGGGGTGAACTCTGCTCTGTGTGAAATGACAGTGCTGACAACTGTGAAAAAAAGTTTTTCATTTTAACTGGTCTTACCGAATAACCGTAATAAATCGAAGTTATCGATGTTCGACTGTATTACAAATATTTTTATATTTATTTGCTCGTTATCTTAATTACAGTGTAACCAATGTTCCTTGACTTTTAAAATCTTTAGATTATAATGTTTGCCTGTAGTGAGATCAGTGGTGCTTAGTTATTTACTGCTTGTGTCAACTGCCACGGAAGAAAATTAATTGGTAAACTAGTACATTCAATCTGATCGAAAAAAGAAACAGTAGGAAAAAATATTACACTACATATTATCGCTACGCCAATATCTTGAGGCGTATTTTATTGGTCTGTTATCTTTAAGTGACTGAAATTGCATCCTTATTATTAATACATAAAAAATACTTATTTTATAATGGTCCCCATTTGAAAACATCATCTAAATAAATCATATTATAGGACTGTTGTTTTTGTGTCTAAATATATGACAAAAGATGAAGAGGACAATGCTAAAGAAGCAATGTGCATAAACAAAACAACCATCCTAAGGTAATTAATAAAGTTACAACAAATATTCTCTTTAGAAAAAAATATTTTGGAGCAACTGTCGCGATAATTCGGTCTGGGAAAAATATTGTTTTTTCTAATTCTTCCGCCTCGTTAATAAGGGTCACTATTATTTTTATGGTTAGTATTAATGTTTGGTTTTTATTTCTATGTATTTACTTTTATCTACAATTCTTTTGTAATTCTAGCTAATAAGACGTCGTCTGCCTACACTGGTGTCAGAATTTGTTTTAGTGTGAGTTGATCTAATGGTGATCTCCAGGAGATCTATTCCACTGCAAGAGCAACATTCTCCATTTTTCTAAAGGGGAATTATGTGTACTTTAAGACTACCATATCAGTCTATCCACAATGTGTCTACACATTCCCACAAAAAAATTAACAAATTTTGACAGGTAAATCCTATCTAAAATGTGAAAGATAATAGACTTTTGTTTCAGCGGTTTATTAATCCTCATTTTTTTCTTTACGTACGTATTTTACAATTTATCTTAGAAACTACAAATCGATCGCTTAAAATTTTGTTTACTTTAAGGTTATCGCCAATATGGTAAATCGCTAATCAGAATTTATCTCTTCGACACTTTGAAAAACTTGATGACCTCATTTAAAAATTTGGAAAATAAATCTGGCTTGAAGTTTGCAAAATAGCATATACGCTTATGTTTTAGAATTGTTTATACAGGATGTCTTAGCAAAATTGATGCATGACGTAATTTATTTCATTGATTAAATAAAAAACGGCTTACTTGTTTTAAGTTTTTTCGAAATTCTTGTAAGAATGTACTGTTGCCCTTAGTGTTGTAACACTAGGTATATAACAAACAGTATAGCCTATCATGTTTGATTGTGCTTTAGAGGTAAGAGTGTTATGTCTAAATAAAAATAAACCAACTTTTAGTATTTCAACAATTTTTCATGTATTACCATATTTACGAGAAAGGTTAACTCGTTCTTAGCAGCGAATAAAAACAGCAGATGAACATGATTTCTACGAAAATTGATTCATAGATATTATTATTGAATGAAACTGTCTACCAAAATTTTACAACCAACTGTAATTTAATCTTTACCGTCTCATTGCATTTGCATGTAAATAGCAACATCTCTACCAGATGTACATTATACATTCAGTAGCGAGAGTCTGTACAACTTTAACCGTTACCACTCACTGGCAAGATACCACACATGTCAAATCTTTAAAATAAAACATTACCATGAAGTAATAGTTTGCCGATTAAGCTAGTGATCACTTAAAAATGCATACTTATGAATTTCCAGAACGTAATTTTTCCCTAAGGACGTTACATTCTTGCAAGACACATGTTAAAGCTAAAAATTAAATATCTAAAAAATGCGGTGAACATATTTGTTGTTTAACCACAAAATAGTTCATACTCTAAACAAGGAATATTACGATGAAATTTTATTGTTGTTCTAAGTCTGTAGATTTAATTTGACTTACGTTGTATTCCAAAGGTTCGTCTTCTGGTGTCAACGCCAAGGAGCTTTTTCTATGGATTACTGTCCTACTTGTATCTGAAACAAAACAACATTTCACTACAACCGATAAATCGTTGAAAATTTATTACGATAACATACAATACACAGTATCCGTATAAAGCATACCAAAAATTTCACCAGAAGAAACCTATTTTTGCTTTTAGAGCTATGTATGTAAGGCTAAAAAGATGCCGTAACAGCGTTATTTTAAAGAATGTCACGTTTTCTTAGGATCTTCCCATTATACATCTGGAAAGCTGCATAGCAACAACGTGGTATTACTATAGCGAATGTATAATTGTCAAAAATTTAGAGTTCAAGAATTTCGTTAAACTACATTCCTGAACTCTCATACACTCTAAGATCTAAATCTAAATAATGAATGTTTTACAAAGTTGCACACGAATGTGGAATACCTATGTTATGGTGAAAGTAATTTTTCAATCACATAAGTACTTTCAGAAAACTAATTAATAAAGTAATTAATCAGTTTCCCACCCATTTATTGATTCCACTGATGAAACTCCTGTGTGTTTATTCACAATTTCAGGACTATCTCTATTATGTCTTCTTGAAAAACAAACGAATCAATATTCTACAAAAAATGTTCGCACAGAGATGTTACGTAGTATTTAGTTAAAATTAAGCCATTTTTAGTATTTACAATAAACCAGTTATACATTTTTTTATTTTTTTTAAGATGTAATTTTACCTAAACTTGTCTGAACAAAACAAAAATCGCAAAATCAAATTTCACAATTTTTCAATTTTTTTTTTAATTCTTGGGGTCATGATTATGAAACATCGACAAAATACGAAAGTAGCCAAATGGATTCTATTATTACAATACTTTTCTAAGTTACGCTCTGAAAATAAACATACAGCTTTGTTGTATAAATTAAACGGAATACTATAATATGTTTGAAAATACTTTTAAATTATATGTAGTTCTACGGCTGCGTCTCCAGCGAATGTTTAATTTTCCACCCTTTGACCCATTTATTGATGTTAGTTTGATCGCATCTTTGTCGACATTTTTTTTCCTAGCACATTGAATTTGTTTGAAGATTTGTCTTCAGGTGCGAGGGAAGTCCTATCTAAAGGACTTAAGAGCAATTTTTTAAACGTGGATTTAAATTTCGGGCACTTATTAAACAGCTAGGGGACGTTAAAATATGCGCATACCCAAATCATATATCATATTTCTAGGTTTTATACCACGGAGGAAGGAAGGAATATAATTATATTCATTCGTTCATGTATTATACTGTCAGACAGGCATCAATCAAGTGTTACCGTGCTTACGTCTTTGTCTTCAGTCTTCATCAGCAAATACTTGTTTCTGACTATCTTTTTCACACACAAGTGTATTTCGTCGCCAGGTTTAACTGTGTCACTCTATCACTTTTGTTAATATGTCTGCACGTAAATTAATACATGATTAACAACTGCTTTCATAAAGAAATAATCAGCTCCAAACTTTTCATTGTGTTCATTATGTCAGGATGTACTACGTACTGTAAATATATGTAAGTGAAAAAACGTGTTTTAAAACTATTGGCGTCACACTGTTATCCTGTTACCGGCTGACAACACTGTTATTGTATTATGTATTATTCTACTTAGTGACTGCTATAAAACAAAAAATCTAAATTATTTATAAGTTTCCAATTGTTCAGCAGTAAAATTTATATTCACTTGCGGTGATTTCGAAGATATTCACTATAATGCTACATTTTACAAAAGTAATGTTTTTTAAAGGCAAAACAGAAACCTATGTGCAATATTGTAAACAAAACAGGCTAATAATTTAAAGAGGATCATTAATTAAAAGACAATACATATTTATAAGAAAAGACATTTATCAAAAATAACAAACGCATCAATGAGAAAATAAAATTAATGACAAAGTTCGACATAAATTACATTTGCATAATGCAGATACATTAATTTGTGTTTATCTAAATGGACAAATTTTTACAAAGATGAACATTTTTTGCTTAACTGTCGGATTCGTATACATATTAAATACGTATACATATTGTGAAAATCGTTTTAATATTTTCTTGACTTGTAGTTTTTAATTTGTCATAACGATGGAAAAATTATTTATTCATAATACAAATAAACATGGTAATCTAACCGAGTGGAAGTTTCTTTGAACGTCACCAATGTGGCATGAATTTTTAATGCTCATATCCAGGTGTCAATATTGTTACCACAAAAACTACGCTATTTGTGTAATGCCTTATACAAATCTGAGTGCAAGAAATTAGTGTCTAAATTTTTAACAAGTCAGAAAAAATGCAGTCATGGCATACAGGAGGGTGTGTGATATAATAAAAAAGAAAATAAAGTCGCAGACCAAAGTTAGTATATTATAAGTGTCAAGATTTTTAGATGATTTGTGTAATTTAATCTGCATTCAGAAGCGTGGGTTTAGACTAAAAGTATCGTATAATTTTTCTATCGTGTTGGGTGATCAAAAGTGTATCAAATATCATTCACAGCGTAATAGGTTAACGAACAGTTGTGCATATCTATCTAATAGTTAGTACCGATCTTTTTGTATTATTTCTACGAAGATAGATTTTGATTCCTTATATAGTCAACCTAAAGTTCATGTGGTTCTTTTTTTTTATTAGGTACTAAGTATTTATATTTACCATAGTATGGGAGAGTTATACTTGGTACTACCTCAAAGTTGGGCCAAACCATGTTAACTTTCGAAATTTGGATTGTCTGACTATTTTACATAAGACACTTATTAACTTTTTAAGCTATAGGACTGTTCTCTAGTCTGGAGGTCCATTTTATAATATTCATATTGCAGAGGCAAAAAAAATGCTAGGCATATTTTGCAAATACTTATTTGCAATTTATGGAATATTATTCCATCCTTTTCACGCTCATCGTTTGCAAGATTATTCTCATAAAAGACTTTTAATGGAATTTAATTAAAGTGTCTTGAAATCTAGACGCAATTATTTCACTGCTCTATATATAAAACTGTAAAAGGTATTAATTTTGCTTTAAGATTAAATTATTTAGAACAAAATGTACCTCTAAAAAAACTATAATCTTTTTATTATAAGCGTTTCTTGAACAATCAGCACATTAATTATTATTATTAACCGTTGTATCTTTGTTATTCGTAATAACGATTGTACAGTGCATAGCTATTTAGATAGATTTATTAAAAAGTTTGAAACTTTTAGAAGTAACTTTCCTTATGAAACTATTTTCAAAATGTTTGACGTTACAGTATTAACTGAAAGTGTTCAAAGCTCGAATGCTAGCCACTGAAACACCACTGATGCACCAAGTAATAATAGATATTTATTTTATTAGGAGTTTAAGTGATACTTTATGTGACGGAGTATGGACGATTAAACGTCGAGCGATAGCGAGGCGAATTAAGTCCATACGAGTCACATAAAGTCACTTAAACTCCGAATGAAATTCAATATTTTTTTTCAAACGATTAATCTTCTTTTGAAATGATTATTTCCTATCTTCTTGCTTCATTGAGGAATTGCCTTGATTTCACTTACCATGGTTACTATGGTTGACAACCACTATAATTTTCACATATTTATACTCCGGCGGAGTATAAATGTTTTATTTATACGCTGGCGGAGTATAAGTAGTACTTATACGCCGCTCAAACACGGTGTCATAGAAATGACACTTAAACCCCGGTAAGAACGTCATATAAGTGTCAGTTATATGATGTTTAAAAATAAAAAGTATTTTTTCTCATAGACTCTAGTTTTGAAAAAATACACCACTTAATTTGGAGAAGTTGTGAATACCTAATTTTTCTAGGCACTTGTTTTACAAAACGTAGATTACAAAAAATACTGTCGTGTAGTTTTTTGTGTAATAGTTAAATAGTTAATAACCTTTTTCTAATAACATGAGCACGTGGACATTGTATAGAATTATTATAAATTAGAACATAACCAAACCCACTCGTGTTAGAAACTATTTACTTATTTTGATTTAAGTATGTATCACTAGAATTTAAGTACTATTTTCTTTTTCGTGCTGTATCATAGGACTACATCATATAGCATTAATTATTTTTAAAAGTCAGGGACTGACAGTTGTAATTTATTTGAACATTAAATGTGACCATCAACATCTTTTTTATTTGATTCTAATAATTATTCTTGACATGTTGAAAACAGAATGATCTAGAGTTGTAACACTTAGACCAAATCACTGTGAAAGTGTGTTTTACAAGCAAATTCATTATTACTAAAGCTCAACTTTTAGTATAACCTTTAAAAGTGTTTGTCACAGTTTACGATTTAGATAACATCGTGTGAATAAAAAACTGTTTAAATTGAATAACCAAACGATATTCTATAATAAATAAGTATACTTCGATATGTTGTATATAAAACTGTTTCACTTTCAGATGCTTTGACACAAAAAGAACCGGTTGTGATTATTTGGTTGAAAACATTTATGAATAACAAAGCGGTACACTTTAAACGCTGGTAGATTTAATTAAAGACGCATTAATCTTGTCATTAAAATAAATAAGAGTTAATGTTGCTTAATTATCACGTTGTATTAAAATATATTTTTTTAATTTAATAAATTGTTTACTACACGACCATGAAACCCAAACAATTTTACGTTTACACTAACATTGTAGCTGCAAAAAGCTGTTTTGGTAATGAAGCTTTATGACAAAAAATAATACATTTTGAAAAACAATATTGCTAGAAAAGTTACTAGCTTTATTAGATTCTTGTCGAAATGGGAAGTCTAAATTCGTTCTGAGTTCTCCCTTGTGTGAACATCCTTTAATGTACATGTATTTTATACACCTATTACATATATTTAATTACATTTTCTATTAATCAAATAGTGCAATTCATTAACATTATGTAAGCTGACTTCTGATTTTACGCGTTGCGTATCTCCATAATCATACAACAATATTTAATTGGATACTCTTAACGCCCGGTTAGATGTTTAGATTTTAATTAACAAGTTGTACAATTTACATCTATGAATAAAACGTGCTGAAATTTATGTAAATTATGCACGTTGTTATGGTATTTTATGAATTCTTGTGTAACGTCTTATCTCTTAATTTAGATCGTAATTTAAGCCAACTTATATTTTTTGACCATTCTCATATAATTACCGCTATTCATTAATATCGGACTCTTCAAAAATATAAATTTATATTAATTAAAAATGTAAATCGCTGAATTTATAAAAAATGGTTCGTCATTCAGCGACTAACTTAACCAAATCACTAACTGTAGCTTTTACTGCACCCACAGATAATCTAGGAATATTTTCTTTTATCACTGCGTAAAATTGTTAGTATTGCTATATAAGGCAAAATACTAGATTTAACAACTGTTTAACAAGTATTTCTTTTTGGTTCCTTGAGGCTTTAGACTTTAATAATAAATAAAACGATTTTATAAAAATATGCATTCGATTCGTCACATTTAAGCAACTTTTTTATGACTTTTGTCAACTTTCTTATTCAAGCCCTAGAGAAGTCGATTAAATAAGGTGAAATTTTGACAGTTCTTCAAAAATTATTTTCGATGTATTAAGTCGAATAACCGCAAGAACCCAAAAACAATGTCATTAAAGAATATGGACAAGACCGGAACATGATTTTATTTAATGTAGTGTAAATTTGAAATGATCAATGTATAAATATATACTCTCAGTTATGTAGTTGTTGGTGATGGCATCACCAATAACATCATCGTTGCGTTAGAAGTTTTGGTTCAAATCATATTCATTATTGATCAGTTGCATAACCATGTGTTAAATCTGATTGATCACATATGTTCAAATATATCAGTGTTATATACTAAGGCCACGCGTGACGACACTGTTGGACTTAACTATCGTTCTATGAGATACCTTATACTCTAAATGGAATATATTTAGTTCACAGTATGAGTTTTTCAAATACAAAAATTCTAATTGTGGTTGTTCTTTGTCCGCAAAATGTTATTCGATGCTATAATAACGAATGAAATTTTGCATTATATAATGTTAACAAAGACTTCTTTTAGACTCCGACTTATAAAAAATAATGAGTTTATTGTCATTAGATCAACTTAAGTAGGAGTCACTTTGATTCATAGAAAACGAGTTGTTTTGGATAAGTTCGTTGTTTCACCATCTCGTTTCTTATTAGTGTGGAATAATGCAGCAACCGTCTTTTTTATTGTTTAAATTTAACTTATTGGTTACGAACTAAATTTTCGCTCTTTTAATGAAAACTTCACTCCTACATCTAAATAATGGAAAGCGGATTTATACCTCATGTCAATGAACTAATGTCTGCAAAATTAACGACCGAATTTTTATTGTTGCATCTACTAAACTTTGCGATTTTCTAGGCTTTATTTTCAGCATTTCCGAGAACAATTTTGTGTGATTATTTTTATCATTCATAAATTCTGTGACCGATTTATCGGGGTATTCCGTCTTTTTTTCGCAGCTTTTCAAATAAAATTACGAAACTCAAGCGGTCAATTGCTTTTAGTCTAAAAATAAATCTATTATTGTGTTCGACTGTCATATGAGCTACTGGATCCAGTGAACGAAAAGACTGCTTTTGTGTTAGTTATATTGGAATTTTTGCAGAACTATAAATAAAATAAAATAGTTAACGCTGTCATTTCTCATTTTGCGTCGTAATAGTCGCGATTAATAATGTTTTAATCCTGTTACCAACTTGAAAGTAAAGTGCTAAATACTTGTACCTTTTGATTAAGTGATTCTCCCTTGTGCCTATCTAACCATGAAAATTGAAATTTACCGCAGAAATTATAAACGATCTAGTTCCTCGTTGCTCTTAGATGTTCTTCTAATTAGAGAAAACGGCAACATAACCGTAATAGAATCTAACTTCCGGTAATAAAGTATTAAACCTTATCTTTTGTCACTGCTTAAACAAAACTGAGCTTTCGCTTACAATACACTCCCCACTTTAGAGACTTCACTTTCAGCTGCAACACGCACAGAGGTAGAAACACAAACAACTTTTAAAAAAATAGGCATCGGATTTTTTTCTTAAACCATTATTTATTTAACTTTTACATTTTTTGTAAACAAAAACATATCATCTATATAATTTTCTCCTTATGTTGCTACTATTAACACCAAATACTCTCTTCAGAATATAAAGCTTAAGTGGATCATTTCTTAAATAGTAAACCTTACTAACTATGCAGAGGAAATATATGCCAAGCTCTAGACTAAAACAGTTCGTGAAGTAAAGCTCTGACAAGTTTTACTTTGTATATATTGAAATAATTACACTTACTACTTATAAATGTTGCCAACGTTACCTAAAAAAAATTATCAAGTGTATTCTTGTAAAAATATATCTTCTTAAATGCATGCCATATGAACTTATAAAACACTAACACGAATCGTTGGATGCCTGTTTTTACACACACACTGACAAACTCAGAAATTAACCAAATAGCTCCTAAACGTCTTTAAATAAGTCAAATCAGTTCTTATTTATTTTTATTTACGATGTCTAGACTGTATATGCAAAAGTAATAATTTTGCGCGCAGAGTTGATGGTGAGTGAAGAACTTTCTAACCAAATTATTTCACAGAGCTGAAAATTTCTCGCTTTTATTCATAAATGCAAAGAGATATAATATCGCTTAAATTATTCAGGTATCTCAAATGAAAATGAAATAATATCTTCGTTTTGCCGGCTAATCCTTGGGCTAAGTAATTATCTAATAATAACCTGCGGTTAACAAAAATTATCGCCTAGCTGGTGCTTGATTTAGCTGTTTCGCTTTACTAAAAATCTTCACAAATATATCAGTCATATTAAAAAAAAAAAAACATTTCGTAAACCAAATAACTGAAACTAAATACTTAAAAGGAAAGGCAACATTAATTCAGGATTATTAATTATTAATTTGTTAAATTAGATCAGTCATGCAAGCACTTAAATCAATCTTGATACAAGAACAAGTTTGAGCGCTCTGAAGTGAATAAAACAGCCGCGTTAATTAAAGCACCGTTAGTGTCATTTGAATATTTCAAAAGCGGAATTCGAAAAATTACGTTTGTCAATCATTTCATTCCTTGAATTAATTATGCGATGGCAGTATTTAATAAATTATCCTTAGGTTTCACCACTTACGTAATTTTTTGCAAAAATATTTACAACATATAAATCAAATAAAACTTATTAAGAGAAAATAATGCGACGTTATAAACTAGAGTAAAACAGAAAAATTACCGTTATGATCCTCCAGTGTATCTTCATCTTTAATAGTATCCATCATACTCTCAGGGTCTCTGCTTTGAATAATCATATTTTGACGGCGGCTTCAACCTGCTCCAGTGGTCTATCATCAAATTCAAGGCACCAACTACGAATTTTTTTTCAACTGCGTCAACTTCGTTTGATGGAACACATAGTTTTAAACTGCACTTGCCGAGTGGAATTTCCAGCGACTTCAATTTTTAAACTTTAATTCAATTTAGGATCCTATTATAATTCCATTTATCGTAAATTTTTATTAAAATGGACTCACGTAATGTGAACTCATTTAATAATTCGGCAACCTGTTGAACATCCACCAGAAAAGGCAGACGCCAAAAACAAACAAATGCGCATAATTTTATGAAATACTGTAATGGAATTATAATATCAAAAAAATTTTAAGTACAAAACCGGCAATTTCGAATTATAGCTGTATAAAAATCATCCACCGTTGTCACACCGTAGTTGATTACAGCTATGTTAACTGTAGTTATAAAAAAATATTATCCCATTTTCCATTATTCTTAAGCTGTTGTGGCTATAAAATTTCGTAAATTCGTTTACACGTTGTAAGAAAAATAATTACATTGTGAACAATTAGTTTAAAACAAAACATTATTTCCATGGAAGCAACCAATCACAACAGGAAAATTAAAATATAATTATTTTTTAGATAACAAAACCATATCATAAATCACATAAAAAAATGACAAAACAATTGTTCTCTAATAAGATCGCCTACAGCATTAACAAATAATAGTGATTGCTGAAGCAAGTGGCAAATTGAAATTACTTCATTAAAAATTCATTTTTCATATAAACACAAAATCACTGGATATGCACGACATTAATTTTTAACATTGTATATGAATATTCACTTCCTAAGTCTTCCGTATGTTTGTCTGTCTGTCGGTCTGTTTATTTTAGTGCCTAGAATTTAACATTTATGAATTTCGATCGTATCCTAAAAGGCTTGACACTTTTAATCTGTATCCAAATATTACTAGCGTCGACAGCTTAACAAATTCTGTGAATTGGTCTACCCGACAACATTGTAGGTTGGTATGCACTAAGTGTTCGAATATTTAAATGTTAAATTTTTATGGAAAAACATTATATAAAACACTTAAAAGTCGAGAGCCTGAGATTTTATAAGTAATATGTTTGCTGGTGAGATTTTGACAAATTAAACATTAGCAACCGAAATTTTGTGACAATTAATAGCACACAACAATGCAGGTTTTTCATTTCAGCAGTGTTTTTATCTCGCCGTCTCAAAGGGGTGTATTTTATAAGATTATGGTGTAGATTATGCACATCCCCTACAAATTACAAGAAACAGTAAGATTTCTAAAGTTAAAAAACAATGAATGGTAAATTTATTTAAGCTTTGAGGTGGCATGCAATAAAATATTCTTTTATTTTCTAGAACTGCTTGTATTATTTACTTAATATATAGACTAATCTTAATTTCTCGGAAATGATGGAACTAGTACCAAATTCGACATAATAAAAATTAATATATTGATCTCCACCATGTAGGTTAACTACATCACAACCAACAAAATACTATTAATTAATACATATATTTCCAAAGGCAAGAGAGATAGGTTTATTTCTTAATACCACATTGCATCTTGTTTTAAAGAGTAAAGATGTAACCCATTGTGGGTAAAACACTCTTTAAGTGTTGTAACGTATTTTTTCTACTTTTGTCATTTTTGATACTGGATGCAACCTGACAAACTTTTAAACTTCAAACGTCAAAATGGCATTAAGGCACTTGCGACATCAAAATTTTCAAAATGACAAAAAAATGATTTTTTGGCCCCTGTACATATATTTGTTGTACATTTAATATCAACGTAAATACCATTCAGAGTACATTTGTGTCTAAAAGATGTGTGATTGTGTGACAACACTTATGTAATTTAGTTGAAATAAACTTAACTTGCACCCTATATACAGGTGTTCCACAAAAATACCGTTTCCGAAAGGCGACATTTAAAAAATCGTTAGGTTTTGCCTAACATTCATGTTTTTAGGTTTCACCCACCTTATAACATCTCATTCAAAGTTTCTTTTTAACAGTAATCCAATTTTTTTAATCAAACTTTTTCAGTGCAAATTTTTATTGTGTTAAAATTATACTACTTACATAGTAAAGCAAGGGCAATAAACGAAATAATAAACTGAGACTTTAAAATAAAAATTGGTGGCGCCAAGTCTGGAGATCGTGCAGGCCAATCTGTTGGTCCAGGTTTCTAACATCGCACTCCCTAAATTGTCTGCCATAGAGAGGAGGTGCCGCATCTGGTAGAAAGGTAACGTATTCAAGACAAAACTTGCACTATTTTGAGCAAAAGGCGTAATTAAAGAATATATATCTATATTGCTTGCCACCTCGTAAACAAAGATCAGCAGTTAAATTTTCTTCATAAAATATGCGGAGTTCTATGGTAATGTTCCCCAAAATTTCATATCAAAGGTTTAGTCGGAATGGATGATGCGTGGGCTTCTTGCGAAATAATGTTTTCAGTGTTCTAAGATCGATTAACGCTAAAAACAATGTATTTATTTTCTGATATTGCTTACATAATCCTACTGGTTAGTCGTCATCGTTTTAAGTACAATTATTATTTATGTGTTCATTTACACTAATGTGAAGATGAACGTTGTAGGGGCGAAATTTGTCAAGTTATATAAATATGCAATGAACTGATCAATTACACCAACTTGACTGACGTTGCTGATAACAGCTATCTGTCTGATTATTGGGGCTTCTGGTGTAGGTACATGACCAAAACCTACAATCTGTTCAATTTCTTTTCTACTACGTCTGTGTCTTTTTTATTATTAACAGAGCACATACTATCAAAAAATCTATTAATCAACTTCCCTGAGCTTGTGTCTGTAATCTTTGCAGTTTATTTTCGATCCCCTACGAAAAATGAGTTCTGTTCTTTCTTCCCGAGAAAACACTTTGAACAAAATTAAAATTAACCTCAAAGCTCTTCAACAACCTTTGTTTATTTTTTCCTTATTTTAAAATACGGGAAATGTTATTACAATCACTTTTGTCATTTTCATTGGAATGACCTTTACAATCTGTCATTTTTCTTACCAAAATTTTGAGCTTGGATCGTATCTTAAAAATTAAAAATAGTGTTACATGTAAACCCCTCAATTAAAAAATTCTAGATTATTGATAAAAGAGCTTTCACAAAATGGTGACCGTGCTAAATATGCGGTGCACCACAAAATTTGTATTAGGTTATTTGATAAAAACTTGACATTCAGTAAGAGAGAAAGAAATCTTCCATTAATGGGGCAGTTTAAAAATTTCATTTCTGATTTTCATTCTCTTCATTTACTTTCATTTCTGTACACACGAATGGAAAATATTTTTTTTTATTGCAATATTAGTAGCCATCTTCTAAAAAAGCTCAAAAATGGGTCGGTTGAATATTTTATATATAAATGTAGTCAATTTAACAGTTGTTACTGTACTTTCTTTAACGTTTTTTGTTCAGCAATATGTAGGGAAAGGGAGCGATTTGCAATAAATTGACAACAGTTAATTTAAGACATTATAGTAATTATTCTGTATTAAAGCAAGACTGTATTGTAATAAGGGATGTGTGATCTTTAAAATTTTTAAATAAATTATTATCTATAGATACATTTTCCCTGGTTAAGGTATCATTTCGTATTAATAACAAATAATATCAGCTGAATAAACAGAAAAATGTTTCAACAGGTCAGCGAAGCTTTTGAGTGTAGTTTTGTAAACTATTTACGCTTAACGTATAGAAAAAATAAATAGTTCAGTAACTTTAGTTTCAAACTATTTTGTGTCGAAGGAAAAATCAAAATTTTCATGACAGAAACGAGTAGTAAATGTACATGTGATATGTATTTTTAGCACTGTGTATAAAGGCCTCTCATTTATAAAGAACTAAGTGCAAAGATCATGACAATAACAACTGGTGTTAGAAGTCCTTTTTGTCATAAGCATAGAAACAAAACATGTCATCTTCTATTGACAAAAAATGAGTTATATTTTGCTTGTCAATACAAAAGCAATCCATATTTGAATATAATTTTAAACAGATTCGTGAAAACCCTGATGTAAAAATTACAAACAAATGTTAACTTATTTAATGCAAAAACTTGGAACGAAATTTTCTAAAAAAACACATTTTGTTAATTATACAGTGAAAGATTAAAAAATAAGGCCTATATCCAACAGAATTTTATTCAATCAATTTCTAATGATGCAGCTTGGTAGAGATGAATAAGAAAGATTTATCCAAGGGTCATGAAATAGTTTCCAACATAAACTTTTAAGTAAATTAATATTGGTACTATGGTAATATGTAACAGAAAGTCATATTTTGAAGAAATCGTTTAACTATTTTTGTGTTTGTCAAATAGGGGTTCACCCAGTCGCAGATGACATAATAATTCTGAAGTGAATAACAAACACACAAAAATGAACTCCGTCAAAAAAAAAAATTTAAAAAAGAAACGAAACTCCTTAATTTGTTGAGCATTTTTGTAGTTTGTTGCTATAAATAGTTTCCATTGTGTATAACAAACACAAGCAATGTCCTAATTTATTTAGTATGAAGTTTTTGTAAGAATGTACTTTCATCATGAGTGTTATTTTTTCCTACAAGCGCTTCAGTCCATTAAATATTAAATGTTATTATTATTCTTGCAATTATTATTTTTACTTTTAACATTGACAAGTACTTTGGACTGCTTTATAACTGTGCTGGCAATTGACTGTTGTATGACTAAATAATGAAGCCGTATTTAATTTTTTTTAAGAATGATGTTAAAACAGTTTTCTCAATGAATATCTAGATTCTAGCTTCGTTTGTCCTATTACTTAAAGTCTACCGCAAACAGTTAACACTAAATTAATGTGCAATTTAAAATTTCAAGGACTCATTTTTCTATCAGTTAATTATCGTTGCTTACGTTTGTTGAAATTTATATTTTTACAATAAACAAAAACATTAAGTTACTTTTATGTATTCTAAAAAGTAAAATTTACCGCTCAAAGAAATTAGATCTGTATCCAACAGTGTTTATAAAGCGTAGGTGCCCTAGTGTAACAAATACGTATTTCCAGATAAAAATATTCGCACAATAATCTTAAAAATTTGTGGTAATGATTTACTCAAGAATGCGTGCATGAACGTGTGAATTTATATTTTAGCAGAAAATGTGCCCGACGTAAACAACTCATTTGCACTGTCACCATGAGATTTTCCTTCTTGCACTGCCACACTCCGCACATTTAAAATTATTCTAACCACCATCGCACTGGGAGAGCACACTCAAAAATCATCCACTTCCATTGATCAAACACAGCCGCACTGACGCACTTATTACCATAGACGACGCAAATGCATAACTAAATAGATAAGATACCGTTGTCTCCAGCTGACAGAAACGGGGTTTGTCTTGCGATTAGCAGGACGCGTTCAAGCATTGGCGGCGCGACTCTGTTAGCAGGAGAAGTAACAAACCATCGAGGACCGAAACACCTGGTAAACTGCTTTGAGCCGCACTGAGAAAGCATTCGGCGAGTTTTTACCTCCATGTAACAAACAGCGCTCGTTGGTGTGTGTGGCAGTCGGGTGGAAGTCACAACGACCAGACTGTTCTCTGAAGTTGATGTGTGTACGCTTATGAGGCATTGCCGCACAATAGGAAGTAGACCTTGGATTCCTTAATACAGGCAAAAAGTAAATCTACTCCGGTCTATGATACAGCTCAAGGAGGGTGGATATCTTTAGTAACAATGCTTCAGGAAAATCTTGCCTCTTTTCTAGAAAGTTTACGAACACTGAGTACCAAGTGAGTGTAGAATTATTCAACACTGGTCGTCACCAATTTTAAACACGTAGAGGGTCCATAAAACATGGATAAATTCCACAAAAAAAGGAACGCGAGTTAACAGATAGATGCACTCAACAGGTGTACTTTTATATTGTTTACAATTTAAACGAAAAAGTTGTGAATTCGTATAATACAAGCCGAACACAAACAAAAGTACATAATTAAGCCCGAAATTGGCAAAAATACGCAAACGTTTGAAAAGCAGTTTTCAATGGGGTGAAAATGTTAACGAATTTTAGAATCGGTAATTTTTTTCATAGTTATGACTCCATCCTGACAGCAAGTTCAGTATCATAACTGTGTAAGTAACCAAAATGAAACTATTATTTTCCTATAACCCTTTAAATATCCACCAAAACAGACAGTTGAAGGAAATAAAGTGACGTGCCCGCTATGTACTAAAGAAATGAAGTTGTTATCCAAAAAATTCATGGACTCACCTTTATTGTTCAAATGTAGGCAAGGTATAGCTTTTGCCCCTCCTCTCTTGAAAGATAAATTAAATCGCTTGTGAAACTGTTTGTACTTCACAGGCAAGGGAAGTTTCATCCAGATACCTTTTATTCGTTATGGTTTCTCTATTACCAACTAATGGTAGTCGAGGATATTCAACGCTACCTCGTATGAACCTCAAAAGAACTTCAATATTTAAAATAAAACCTCACAGGGTAGAATTTTGCTACTACTAAAAATGAAATTGAGAAAAAATGTCACTATTCATAATTTGAGACTTTGCTCGTTGATAAGAAATGTCAAAAATGTAACAACGGAATATTTGCTTTCATAGATCATTATTCATTAGCGGAACAAGACAACTTGAGATGAAGAGGTGTTATTATTGTCGGTGCCCCAGCTAAAATTCCGTGCCTTTATATCTTGAGAAAGAATACAAATATTGAAATTCTGTACATACCATTGCGTTTAGCTTAAATGGACTTAATTTAGTGTATTGCAGGTGTGACACTTACAACGGCGCCGGCGTAGCGATGCCAAGTTATATTTTTTTTTATATTTGAAATGTATATTTGTTTTTACACATTTTGATAGATCATTAAATTATATCACAATGATGTAAAACACTTACGTGTTAAAACATAAACAATTAAATTAACTTGAAAGTCAAGAGTAGTAATGTAATTGTGTTTGCACATCTATTAATTTATATTATACACAGTTAAAACTAATACAACATATGTATTTTGAAGCATTGTAATCATAATTTGATGATTACATAAATTGCAATTTAATTAGTCTAAAGTTACTTGGATAGATAAATTATAAAATTTAATTCTACGAATTTTATTTTTTATGGGACAGCAGTATGTCAACTACTTTTAGATTATTTACGGTGAAATCAGGGAAATGAAATAAAATAAGTTTATGAAAAGTTGGGGTGGAAGGAAAGAAATAGGAAAATAATGGCAATAATTTACAAAGATTGATAACATCAACAAATTAGAATCTAAATGAGAGACAATAATAATTAATTATTGAAATTTACTATATTCACCTACGCACTTTTTAATAAAATACCGTTGCATCATATAATATACTTACTAATTCTTTTCAGTTGTTAGAGAAAGTCGCCTGGTCCTTACTTCTACTGGATTTGATTTTTCATACTTCAGACTTTGACGCAGGTGGAATCAAAATAATTGAGAACAAGAAATTTTGTTCTACTTCAGAGACAGTTCATACAATATTTTGTTGTGTTATTGTTGCGAATTCTAGCGCAATTGATTTACAAACTTTGGGCTTTTTCTATTTTTAATAACTGCTGATATTCGTCTAGTGAACTATGGAGTTAATTTTTTTAAAAACTGAAGTGGTAGTACCACTGTTTTTCATTAAATTAACCTGCCAGTTTGATAGCTTAATAAAAAGAAATATATATGTTTATAACCGTTAATGCGTAATTTAGGTTGAAAAAAAAAAACAGCGGCGCGAAATAGCATTTGAATAATTTGAATTTGAAAAAAAATTCAATCAAGAAAATCGTTAAACATAGGCAACCATGTACAAGTTTAGTGCTTTTTGGGTAGTTGGTAGCTCTTCTAGGGAATTTCTGTTGAGAGGGTTGGTAGAAGTTAATTTGGTAGCTAGAGGGTGAGTTAGCTAGGAGGCTTCCACGGTCGGAATCAATACGTGATCGTTTTCCGGGTTGAAACCGTGTTAATTGAGTTTTTGGGCTCAACGTTTCGCACACTTTCGTAAGTGGCATCTTCAGGAGCAGGGTTAAGAATAAAGCAAAAGAGCACGGTAACTAAGTATGTCAACCATACCAGAGGCGAAACTCTTTTGGCGAAACGTTGAGCCCAAAAACTCAATTAACACGGTTCCAACCCAGAAAACGATCATGTATAGCTAGGTTAAGTTTTTCCAAGCGGAAATATGCGAATTTTCGACCGACGCCAACACGTGGTGTAAATTTGTTTTATCGCTTGTAAGTTCGCAGTTCATGTCAGGATTTTAATCGTTAACTGGTTCTAACACAATTTAACAGTCAGGAGATTATTTAGATACAGCACTTGCTAGGAGATTTGATGAGATTTACTTAGTCAGGACTCATCTTTTGTTTATCAGATTATATATAAGGTTTCTGGATGCTTATACTTAAGTGTTACATTATGACACTTCTTAATTCCTCATACAAGATTGCTAATAGTTCATTTACGGCAGTTAAAGTAACCTAACGTAGTCCCACTTTGGGAAAAGTACCGTGCAAAGTGCGGTAGAATGTATAATATCTTGGACTGAGGTACGGGGGGATTAATAATTTCTCCCCTTAGGCAGTTATTATCGTCATATCATCATCACATCATTGAGACATATTTTCTCGCAACGTGGAAAATTACATCACCGAGAAGCTTTTCTCGCAACGCCGGATGCATTTTGTGTTTATTTCTCATATGATAAGCTGGGGACAGTCCACGATATAAACTCTCATAGCTAATGGTCTTAAGTAACCAGTCACTTAGATCAAGGCATCATTTATTTAACATAATGTGAATTCTTTGTTTGAATCGTTGATAAAGTGTGGCATAATTTAACATCAGGTGCATTAAAGAATTTATCTGATGTTAAATTATGCCAACAAAGGTTCTCGCAGCGGCCATGTTGAAAGAGTATTTTCAAAACGAGCACATGTTTGAGTTGTAAAATCTCGTTGAATAAATTAACAACATTGTTTATTTAGACCATTATTTGCGCAGCGCCATAAGGTTGATCGACTTTCTGGGAGACATATTTTGACGCATTTTTTTTGTACGACGCATTCGTCCGACGCCATTTTGAACCTCCAGATTACCTGCTATGTTTTTTTTGTGTTTTAATAACTCGAATGGACATAAAATATGAACCTCATGTAATTTTTGTAGCTTTGCAATTTTTTACCTCAGGCAGTTTTTAACTATCTCACAACTTTCGCCTCAGTAATTTTCTTTGTTGTATAATTTAAATTGAGCGTAAATTTTCATGCTCTGCAATTTCTATCCTAACGTAACTTTTTATCTGCACAAGTTATATTTCACACCAGATCTTTTTTGTTGTATAAATCTTTGCTAGTTTTTTTCATGTAAATATTTTATTGATTAATGTATCCATCATATAAATTGTCTGATGTCCACTCTTAATCTCAGATGATAATTCTTTGCTATTTAAAATTTCACGAGATTGTATGGCGAATTTGAATGTTGTTTATTGCTCTTTCTGACTCTTAAACACTTGTTCAGTTGTCTTTTACATCAGAATGATAGAAAGTGAACATTTCAATGTAATTGAGGTAAATAACACAGAAACCTGTGGCGGAAGCGGAGTGCGCGGTTCTTTGTCGAGCTGGCGGTCGCGCCATCTGCACAAAAGACGCAGACCTAGAATAGAAGTCAAGGGAGCGGTCGGGATGACGTGACACAGAACGTAGGTTCCATTTTGTCAGACGATCACAGCCAAGGCCAAATTTTTGAATTTTTGAAATTTTTGGTGGGGTTTCAATTTTTTTTCACATGTCAATTTAAGGTTGGATGTGTGTATTTATCACAGTGTAAATGTTACTATGAATTTACAAGTTCAATGGAGCTGTGTTTGTGAATTTTTTATGTAATTTCAACTCACCAACGTCATACTATTTTTGTTTACAGCCTTGAAAATGTTTAAAGTATTAAACGAAACTTTGGCAAAATATTATTTTTGGCCTAGTGTCGTAAGTCCTGTCCTTGACAACAAACTGAATAATTTAAAAAAATGCTTGAAAATTTGAAACAGAACATAAAATTTCTACGTATTATATTATATATAAGTCATAATCGAAATTAAGTCAAGCAAGTAAACGATTAAGGTCTTACACTTTAACGAAAAATTAGAAAAATTTCGCCCATCATTTCCCATAATCTCAAAAACGAAAAGCTGTAACAGCGCAAAAAAGTAGTCTCCCGTTTCTGTATGTCTGTCGGTCTGTCTGTATCCATTTTTATTAGACACGTAATTTCCCAAACTGCTGACCTGATCGTTGTCAAATTTTGTATGTATATTAGAAATATCATGTATATGGTTAAATGATAACCACAATTTGGTTAATCATCCCCACCAACAATTTAATGACGTCAATTCAATGAATGTTATTCTAAAATGATTTGAATGTTTCACAAAAATATTTTCATATAC